GCTCAAGGTAGGCACTGTGTTCTTTGCTGTTTCTGTGCTAATGTGTTTGGGCAGAACGGTTTTGTATGTTCTTCTGTGTGCTTTCTGTTTTGTGTTATATATTTGGATTCGATGCTGGGCCCTGCGTTGCTTGGTGCTTGTGCAGGTGCGGTATCCTGACAGAATCACACTTATCAGAGGGAACCACGAGAGCCGGCAAATAACACAGGTGCGTTTTCCTCTCACAAATCGCGCTCCCAGTCCACACCCTCTCAGCTCATGGCTAGCTAGCTCTGTTATCTTTCGTCTCGTTTCCTCGTCTCCTCGCTCGCCACCTCGAATCATGGTCCCCACCCATTCTTCACTTCACATATCTCTCTGCCGAGATCAGCCAAACGAGGGTGATTCCTGCTCTAGCTGTGAACTACCAGGCTGTTAGTAACAGCCGCTCCTGATCTGAGAGCTATGGCCCAGCTTATACACGACCCTTCACTTGGCATTTAGTGCGAGCCCTGGGGTTGCAGCCGGGATTATTCCCACTTGTCTCTTCTCATCCCCGCTTTCTCTTCTTTGTCCCTGCTCCCCCCGCCTCCCCGCTTCCGTCTCTCCAGGTGTATGGCTTCTACGATAAGTGTTTGCGCAAGTACGGATCAGTGAACGTGCGACGGTACTGCACTGACAACTCGTTCTGGAGTTTTTTCCGGAACAACTTTCTATGCTCCCCCACTCCTCTCCCACCTCTCCCTCCTCCTTCCCCTCCTCCTCAGGTGTATGGCTTTTACGACGAGTGTTTGCGCAAGTATGGATCGGTGAACGTGTGGCGATACTGCACCGACATATTTGACTACCTCAGGTCAGAAGTTAGTATAGTACCGCTGTTACCTGTGTGTGTGTGTGTGTGTGTGTGTGTGTGTGTGTGTGTGTGTGTGTGCGTGCGTGGTTACCATGGGCGATGTGAGTTTCCAGTACATGCAAGCGTCTCATGCAAGTACGGATCAGCGAATGTGTGGCGGCACTGCACCGACATCTTTGACTACCTCAGGTGGGGAGTGTGCACCCCTAGCCCTGTACACGGTTACCCCTGTACGCTGGTGTGGTTACCATGTGCGAGGTGAGCTGTCAATCAGCACACACAGCCGTCTCATGCAAGTCCGGATCAACGAATGTGTGGCGGTACTGCACCGACATCTTTGACTACCTCAGGTGGGCCAAGCCGCCGTGTTGTGACTCAAACAGTCACGTGCCCTGCAGTATGGGTCAGTGAACGTGTGGTCATACTGCGCCGACTGCTTTGACGACCTCAGGTGAGGCAGTAACTATGTACCACTATAAGTTGGTGACTGTGTATGAGGTGGCCTTGGGTGCACCAATAGTCCTGTGCAAGTACGGATCTGTGAACGTGTGGCCGCACTGCACTGACATCTTTGACAGCCTCTGGTGGGAAAAGGGAGGGGATGTCTAGGGGGTTTCACTCCAGCAGTCATTTGCAAGCACACACACACAGGCCAGTGAACGTGTGGCAGCACTGCACCGACATCTTTGACAACCTCAGGCAAGCGGAGCTATTGTGTTGTGTTCTGATTTTAACAGTCACCCGCAGTAGGGGTCAGTGAATGCATGGCTGGCAGTACTGCGCCGACAACTTGATTACCTACCTCAGGTGAACCATGAATGGACCATGAAGCTCGAACCTACAACCTGATTACGTTCGTGGCGTTGTAGCCTGCGTCTCGTAGCGACCAGATCTTCGTGTTGACTACAAAGCCCCACGCAAGCGGCATGACAAGCTCTTACGATAGGCTCTCGCGTAAAAAAAAAAAGCATGTGTCTTGCTCCAACGTGCCTTCCTGCTTGCGTCAATGTGACCTTGCGTCCAACCGCCCTTCTCCCTCCCTCTCCCTTCCTCTTTCCTTTCCCCCCGCACTTCCCCATTCCCCCTCCTGCCAGCCTGTCAGCGCCGGCCGAAAATCAAATATTATGCGTGCACGGAGGTTTCTCGCTATCTCTCTTGCTAAAATCAGAAAGTTTTTCCCATTCGTGTCTTCCCACTTCCCACCTGTCTGACCTGCCTGCCCCACCCACACATTTTCTTCCTCCCCTGCCAGCCTGTCAGCTCTGGTAGACAATCAAATCTTCTGTGTGCACGGAGGTCTCTCGCCTTCCATCACCTCTCTAGACCAGGTAATTGCCCCCACATACACAGGGTCTCTATCATGTTTATCCCCGTCACTTCTCGCCCTCCATTACCTCTCTGCACCAGGTTCTCATTACACACCCTTCAAACAGGATATAATCACATTTCACCCGTTTAATCCTCTTCACCCGCCCAGAGTGGGCGGCACTCTCTTTTTTGTGCCTTTCCCTTCCCGTCCTTCCTTTTTCAAATGTTGCTTCTCCCAGGTTCTTGTCATCTCCCTTCCTCTCTGATGTGCATGCCTTGCTACAATCAAACTCGTTCGACGAGAACAGGAAGACTCGACGGCTGGGATGACAGCTGATTCCTGATAATTCTAAAAAATGGATGACAGCTGATTCCTGATAATTCTCATAAGTGGATGACAGCTGATTTCATCGCCGCTCCTCTGCCTCTCCTGCTGTTCCATTCTCCCTTCTCCTTCCTCTCTCTGCTCACTCTCGTCAAATTCGAGTGATCGACTGCGAGAAAGGGGTGCCTAAAGATTGGGGGCATGTGAGGCCTGCTCTGGTCCGATCGGGAGGAGATCGAAGCCTTTGGCTGGGGTCTGCAATGGGATGCCAACTCTTTTCAACTGTTCAAGCTTTTTCCCGAGTCCCATCTCCTTCCCCTCTCCACTCCTCTCCACTCGCTTCTTGGCAAATTCGAGTGTTAGACCGCAAACAAGAAGTGCCTCACGACGGGGCCATGTGCGAACTGCTCTGGCCTGATCCAGAGGAAATTAAACCGGCAGCTTGAATGTCACTGTTATCTGTTGCTCCTCTCTTCTTCCTCTTGCTACTTCCTGTCTCTGCTGCTGTTGCTTTTCAGATCCGAGGGATCGACCGCAAGCAAGAGGTGCCTCAGAGCCATGCGCGATCTGCTCTGGTCCGGTCCAGAGGAGATCGATTGACGGCTGGAATGTCATCTGTTCTTTGATGCCTTCCCCTCTCCTTCCCCTCTCCCTTTGCGCGTGGCAGATCCGAGTGATCGACAGAAAGCAAGAGGTGCCTCACGACGGGGCCATGTGCGATCTGCTCTGGTCTGATCCAGAGGAGATCGACGGCTGGGGGCTGAGCCCGCGCGGCGCGGGTTACCTATTCGGTGGTGACGTGGTAACCAGCTTCAACCACAACAACAGCGTGGATGTGATTGCGCGGGCGCACCAGCTGGTGATGGAGGGGTACAAGTGGATGTTCAACCAGCAGCTTGTTACTGTCTGGTCCGCCCCCAACTATTGCTACCGGTGCGTATTGTCCGTGTGGGTGGGTTCTAGGTGCGAAATTCCGCCATTTTTTTTTTCATATTTTTCGCAGATTTTTTTTTTTTTTTTTTCGTTCGGGTGTGGGAAAATTCATCCGAAATGTATATATATATATCTTATACTAAATGAATAAAAATCAATGGGCAGAATCCTGGGGTGTGTAGGTATGTATGTCATCCCTTTTCAGGGATCAGAGCATGTTATGACATAAATGTTTAGGCAAATTTCATTCTTTACTTCTTTCCTTTGCTTTCATTTCTTTTAGGCCAGCATTTCGCCATTTGTTTTTTTTTTTTCAAAATGCCAACGAATTTTCGGTCGATTGTGGATCTGATTGCACAGATGCACCAGCTGGTGATGCCGTGCAATGGTATAAGCATATGTGCAAACTCATTAAAGTGACATGCCAATCTGAGAATACGCAGAGGCACTCACCCTCTCTTATTCCGCGATCTCCCTCTTTTGTCCCCTCTGCAGGTGTGGCAACGTGGCGGCTATTTTGGAGCTGAATGAGAATCTGGAGAAGAAGTTCCGCGTGTTTGAGGCTGCACCGCAGGTGAGGGGTGGGGTGTTTAGGGGCACGCGGTTTGTGAGCGCAGGTGTGGCAATGTGGCGGCTATTCTGGAACTGAATGAGAGTCTGGAGAAGAAGTTCCGCGTGTTTGAGGCTGCACCGCAGGTGAGAAGAGGGGAGTGTGTCAGTAACTGCTCTTCACTGGAATGAGAAATGCCACGTGTTCCCTTTGAAGCCTTCCCAGATACCATTTGTGAAGGATTATATCGTTGTATGCTCGAACAAATGCATTGCTCATCCACTCTCTCCTCCCTTTGCGTATTCACCTGTCTTGAGCAGGATGCTAGAGGAGCTCCCTCCAGACGGCCTGCTCCTGATTACTTTCTTTGAAGGACCTTGCCAGTTCCACCTACCACCACCTGCTACCATTTCAAAAGCGCAATGCCATCTGCAGCACACTGGGTTTGTGTGTACCATGTACGAGTTGTCAAAGGATTTCAGAAACACAACATGACAACGAGGGTGAGCGGATTCTGATAGAGCATGAATGTCTTTTTGTCTCGCTTGTATGCCTTGTGTGTCTAGTCCATCCCTCGTGCCATTGCTTCAACCTTATGAATCAGTGCCCACAATGAATACCTCATAAATGACAAAAAAAATTAGAGACTTTTTTGGTAGTAGCGTTGTAGTCCTAGCATTTCGAGCAGAACTTTACTAATCATACTCTCATCGAATCAAGCTGCCAGTGAAGGACGAGGCATTCCTTTCCTCAAACAATGTAGGCTCGAGCCGTGTTTCAAAAGTAGCTATATGACAGGTACAGTACGCTTTGTGTCGTAGACGCAGCAGCGTACCTTCCCGATCCACCGTCAACAACAATCGATCGAACGGTCGGCCGCAAGCCATGCTCTACTTAGACACCCTGCAGCAGCTAGCAGTGGTAAAAAAGTCTTGATCTGGTCGTCGTTTCCGCGGAAGCCCGCTTTAGTATTTCCGGAGAACGCCCTTTTCTGGCTAGTCGTAGCGAAGAGGTTTACAGTAGTAGCGATGTCGACTCGCATGGTTCGTCGTCTACTGGAGCAGCAACAGCGAGAAGCGGAAAGCGTGAAGCTGAAGGCGGCTGGCCGCGGCTGTGAGGGGGAGCGCGCGGGGGCTGCGGCAGGGGAAGGGGGGCGAGCGGAGGAAGGGGAGAGGGATGAAGGAGAGGAGAGGGAGGAGGAGGAGGAGGAAGAGGATCAGGATGAGGGTGATTCGAGGCTGATAGCGGCTGCACGGAACGCGTTCGACCTTCTAGACATGGATGTACGTGCTGCGTGCTGGGCCGAGCAACTGCGGCCTGGTGAGACGGTTTGTGCGACGGCGCGTGTAACAGGATTCGCGACAGCTTGACCGACAGCTTGAGCGACAGCTTGAGCGACAGCTTGGGCGACAGCTTGGGCGACAGCTTGGGCGACAGATTGGGCGACAGCTTGGGCGACAGCTTGGGCGACAGCTTGGGCGACAGCTTGGGCGACAGCTTGGGCGACAGCTTGGGCGACAGCCTGGGCGACAGCTTGGGCGACAGCTTGGGCGACAGCTTGGGCGACAGCTTGGGCGACAGCTTGGGCGACATCTTGGGCGACAGCTTGGGCGACAGCTTGGGCGACAGCTTGCGTGTGGTGTACATTGTGTGGAAACCTCCGTTGTCCCCTGCCTGTCCGCTTTTATTCATGATTGGTGCAACGCAGGAGTACAGCACGAGATAGCACGAGATGAGCGTCGGCCAACCTGCTTCCTCTGCTTATCACTCCTAGTTGTGACGCCTCTTATAATTTTCCAAAGCCATAACCACAACCACAACACAACCTGCTTTATTTGTGCGTTTCGATTCGACTCCGAAGTCGGCTCGTGTGTCGTTAGAGTAAAGCACGAGATAGGCCACCCTCAAACTGCTTCCCTTGTTCATTTGCTCCAAGGTCCCGGGTTTGGTTCTCTTCCTTCGTTTTCGTGGTTGGCAGGGCGAGGGAGAGACGGAGGTAGGCGTGGAGGAGGAGGAAGAAGAGGAGAAAGGGAGCACTGCAGGTGGCGGTGAGAGCAGGGATGCGAAGGGGCAGCGGAATGAGGAGGAAGAGGAAGAAGGGGAAGGGGAGGAGGAGGCGGAGGAGGAGGAGGAGGAGGAGCGTAGACGGATGGAGAGGCAACGGAAGAGTGGCAAGAAGAAAAAGAAGGGGAAGGGGAAGAAGAAGGGAGGAACGGGAGGAGGGGGAGAGGATACAGGAGGAGTGGGAGGGAAGCAGAGGAACTTAGATCGAGGTGGAGGGGGAGTCGGAGGGGCAGGAGAAGACACTGAAATAGAGCGCGCTTTGGCTGCCATCGAGGGCCAAGCAGCAGCAGCAGCAGTAGCGACACCAGCGGATTCTATGACGTCATCAGCAGCGGCAGCGGCAGCTGGGGGGGGTCCTGTGACGTCAGCGCGGCCGCTTCTAGCAGTGGAGACCCGGTTCCTGCGAGCAGATGACGAGCTGAAGCGCATCTTTGGCTCTAAGGTGATCCGGCAGGTGGAGAGGCAAGCAGGGGGCGGAGAAGGAGGCGCAGGAGGAGCAGGAGGGATGGGTGTGAGGGGAGGCGTGCGGGGGAGGCGTGGAGGAGGGGGGGGGAGGGAGAGGGGGAGGGGGAGGGGGAGGGGGTGTGGGGAGGAGGGCGTTGCTGGTGCAGGAGAGGGAGCACTGGCCGCCAGGTGCAGTGGCGGAGAAAGGGCTCACTATGGAGTTTGTGCGCGAGAGCAAGGGTACTGGCCCTGCTGCCGCTGTCGCTGCCGCTGCCGCTGGTGCTGCTGCTGGTGATGGTGCTGGGGGTGTGGATGGGGCTTGTGCTTTCCCGGTGCTCCCCGTGCGTGTGTTTCGCTACGTGCGGTCAGCCACGTACCGCGCGGCGCAGCACCTGTTTGAGCAGACGGTGGCGTCGCACGACCCAAACCAGCTTGGGCTCTTCGTGGCCCACCACCCCTACCACGTGGAGGGGCTGTTGGCCCTCTCCGAAGTGTACAAACAGGTGGGATGATGCCTGGTGTGTTGGTGGAGTATGGTAGCAGCAAGCAGCGAGCAGCACCTGTTTGATTGAGCAGACAGTGGCGTCGCACGACCCCAACCAGCTGGCTCTGTTCGTTGCTCACCACCCCTACCACGTGGAGGCGCTGTTGGCGCTGTCAGAGGTCTACAAACAGGTGAGGTGACCGTGATATCTGTGTGTGCGAGGATGGTGCAAGCAGCAAGCAGCAAGCAGTAAGCAGCGCCTGTTTGAGCGGACGGTGGCATCACACGACCCCAACCAGCTTGGGCTGTTTGCGGCGCACCACCCCTACCACGTGGAGGCTCTACTAGCGCTCTCTGAAGTGTACAAGCAGGTGAGATGATACCTGTGCATGTGCGGGTGGTGGGAGCTAGTGGCAGCCAGCAGCAACTGTTTGAGCAGACCATGACAACGTACGATCCCAACCAGCTGGGGCTCTTTGTGGCGCACCGCCCCTACCACGTGGAAGGGTTGCTGGCTCTGTCTGAGGTTTACAAGCAGGTAAGATGATACCTGTGCATGTGCGGGTGGTGCACTATCCTTACCACGTGGAGGGTCTGATGGCTTTCTCCGAAGTTTACAAGCAGGTGAGACGATGTCCGTGTGTGACGCGAGGGATAGCAGCCAGCCGGTGAGAGGTTGGTGGTGGTACCAGCAGGCTACCTGTGATGTGTCATCTAGTTGGCTCTCTGTTTCTGTGTGGCACACCTCTTCTCTCCTACCTCGTGGAGGGGTTGCTGGCTTTCTCTGAAGTGTACAAGCAAGTGGGGTGACCGTGATACCTGTGTGTGCGAGGGTTGGTGCTAGCAGCAAGCAGCGAGCAGCAAGCAGCGAGCCCTGGCCCGGGGTTACGACGGAGTCGTACAAGCCAACAAAAAAAAAAAAAAAAAAAAAAAAAAAAAAGAAGCAAGCAGCGAGCAGCGAACAGCAAGCAGTGAGCAGCAAGCAGCGAGCAGCAAGCAGCAAGCAGCGAGCAGCAAGCAGCGAGCAGCAAGCAGCAAGAAGCGAGCAGCAAACAGCGAGCAGCAAGCACCAAGAAGCGAGCAGCACCTGTTTGAGCAGGCGGTGGCATCTCACGGCCCCAACCAGCTGGGGCTCTTTGTGGCTCTACCTGCTGGAATCAGCGTGTGCAACCACATGCCTAGGGTTGAGCCTAGAGGTTGCCCATCTCCCTCCTCATCCTGTGCTCATCGCCCACCCATTTTCGTACGCCATTCTCGCACACCTTTCTTTCCGAACCCCCTTTTCTCGTCCTCGTCCCAGGTGGGCGAGGTGCAGACATCAGCAGACCTCCTTGAGAGAGCGCTTTCCGTGCTGGAGGCACCCTGTGCCACATGCGTTCATGCTAGTGCATCCTCATCTCTTTCCCAACGTCCCTTGCTCTTCCCCAATGCTTCCCCGTGGCAGGTGGGCGAGGTGCAGACATCAGCAGACCTCCTTGAGAGAGCGCTTTCCGTGCTGGAGGCACCCTGTGCCACATGCGTTCATTCTAGTGCATGCTCATCTCTTTCCCAACGTCCCTTGCTCTTCCCCAATGCTTCCCCGTGGCAGGTGGGCGAGGTGCAGACATCAGCAGACCTCCTTGAGAGAGCGCTTTCCGTGCTGGAGGCACCCTGTGCCACATGCGTTCATTCTAGTGCATGCTCATCTCTTTCCCAACGTCCCTTGCTCTTCCCCAATGCTTCCCCGTGGCAGGTGGGCGAGGTGCAGACATCAGCAGACCTCCTTGAGAGAGCGCTTTCCGTGCTGGAGGCACCCTGTGCCACATGCGTTCATTCTAGTGCATGCTCATCTCTTTCCCAACGTCCCTTGCTCTTCCCCAATGCTTCCCCGTGGCAGGTGGGAGAGGTGCAGACATCAGCAGACCTCCTTGAGAGAGCGCTTTCCGTGCTGGAGGCACCCTGTGCCACATGCGTTCATTCTAGTGCATGCTCATCTCTTTCCCAACGTCCCTTGCTCTTCCCCAATGCTTCCCCGTGGCAGGTGGGCGAGGTGCAGACATCAGCAGACCTCCTTGAGAGAGCGCTCTTCCTGCTGGAGGCGGCGTGGCATCCCTGGTTCAACCCCTCGCTGGGCACATGCTGGTGAGAGTGCATGGCGGCTTCTTGACATGCTTGAATTGGATGCTGGAAAGCTCTTTGACCCTCTTTCTTCTGGAGGCGGCGTGGCATCCCTGGTTCAACCCCTCTCTGGGCACATGCCGGTGAGAGTGCATAACAGCATGTGTGTGCATAACAGCATGTGTGTGCATAACAGCATGTGTGTGCATAACAGCATGTGTGTGCATAACAGCATGTGTGTGCATAACAGCATGTGTGTGCATAACAGCATGTGTGTGCATAACAGCATGTGTGTGCATAACAGCATGTGTGTGCATAACAGCATGTGTGTGCATAACAGCATGTGTGTGCATAACAGCATGTGTGTGCATAACAGCATGTGTGTGCATAACAGCATGTGTGTGCATAACAGCATGTGTGTGCATAACAGCATGTGTGTGCATAACAGCATGTGTGTGCATAACAGCATGTGTGTGCATAACAGCATGTGTGTGCATAACAGCATGTGTGTGCATGACAGTGCATGTGTGCGTGAGTGTGCATGGTGGAGCGCTCGTTGGCACTCTTCCTACTGGAGGCAGCGTGGCATCCCTGGTTCAACCGGACTTGTCAGTGAGAGTGCAAAGCAGTGCACGATTGTGCATGCATGCATATGTATGTGTGCAGAGTTGAGCGTTCATTGCCGCTCTTCCTACTGGAAGCAGCATGACATCCCTAGTTGGTTCAACCCCTCGCTGGGGACTTGCCGGTGAGCATCGATAACGGTGCATGCATGCATGTGTGTGTCTGTGTGTGTGTGTGTGTGTGTGTGTGTGTGTGTGTGTGTGTGTGTGTGTGTGTGTGTGTGTGTATGTGTGCCTCTGGGCGCTGGGGCTCTGTTCATGCCACATCCCTGTGCCTCCCTCCCTCCCCACTCCCTCCTTCCCCCTGCCAGCTTGAAGAATTCCCACGAGCCCAATCGAGCACTCTTTGACGCTCTCTTCCGTCACATGCACCACATGGGTCGCAGGGGCTGCTGGAGCTGCCATTTTCGTCTCGTGCGCCTTTCACCCTCCCTTTTCTCCCCCAACCAGCTTGGAGCTCGCCCACGAGCCCAACAGGGCGCTCTTCGATGCTCTCTTCCGTCACATGCACCACGTGGGTCGCAGGGGGCTGCATGGGCTGCCGTTCTTCTCTCATCCCGGTGCCTCCTCCCCACCCCCTGTGTCTCATGTCTTGAAGCACTGTTTGCTTTGCCTGTCCCATTCCCTCCCGTCCCCAGCTTGGAGTTTTCCCACGAGCCCAACCGTGCTCTCTTTGACGCGCTCTTTCGCCACATGCACCACGTGGGACGCAGGGGCTGCCACCGCGCTGCCTTTGAGCTCTGCCGCCTGCTGCTCTCATTAGACCCGGACACCGACCCGCTCGGTGCCCTGCAGGTGGGTGGGTGTGGCTGACTCTTCTCTGCTAGGTGCTGCCTATCTGCTGTCAGTGGACCGCAGGGGCTGCCACCGTGCTGCCTTTGAGCTCTGCCGCCTGCTGCTCTCGCTCGACCCTGACACCGACCCCCTTGGCGCTCTCCAGGTGGGTGGGTGGGTGAGTGGGGCTGGTCTTGTGAGTGTTGCGTGCAGCCTGTCTACCCTAGAGGGCTCACAGGGGCTGCCACCGCGCTGCCTTTGAGCTCTGCCGCCTGCTGCTCTTAGTTGGAATATACGCGTTTCGCGTTTCATACGCTAGCGTTTATCCGCTAGCGCATAAACGCTGAACGCTTCTTGGGAGGCTTCCTGTACGCAGTGAATACGCAGGCCCGGGCACCTAAAATTTTTTCCCGGGCAGTTGTTTGGTCTTTAGCGGGGGATGGGCGAGGTGCAAAGCACGAAGTTGGTGCCCGCAGTCTAGTCATACTCGTTGAGAAGTATCAAGTCGGCGAGATCGAGATGAAACGAAATGTAGAAATGTCGAGATTAGGGCTGACTGGCTGGTAAGCAGCGTGGGGTTTGTTGGGGGGGTGGTTCTGGACAGGTTGGAGTTCGTAGATGTTATGGGTTCCAGTGCGGTACTAATATGAGATTCAACATATCGATTCCCAGACATGCCTCCCAACTTCGAAGTCACATTTCCGCTTGCCTAGACCACCGATTAGCATTTCGACTTTCGCGAAATGCTCACGAAGAAATTCCGCACCTATTCCGCGATTTTTTTTTCGGGCAGCCCTAAAACTTTTCTGACTGCGTATTGCGTATTCCCTAGCGTTTTGCGTATAGCGTTAAAACGCAAGCGTATAAACGCGATACGCTTGAGGCTCTGAGCGTATACTCCAACTTAGCTGCTGCTCTCATTAGACCCGGACACCGACCCGCTCGGTGCCCTGCAGGTGGGTGGGTGTGGCTGACTCTTCTCTGCTAGGTGCTGCCTATCTGCTGTCAGTGGGACGCAGGGGCTGCCACCGGGCTGCCTTTGAGCTCTCCCCTGCCGTCTGCTGCTCTCGCTTGACCCGACACCGACCCCATAGGTGCTCTGCAGGTAACTGTTTGCACAGCTTATACTGTCCCCAGTCCTTCCCCTCTCTTTTTCCACATTCTGGCTTTCTCCTTTCCCAGTGTCCTCCACCCATCTTTGCTCTCAGAGCACGCCAGCTCACCTCCTCTCCCTGCCTCCCTTATCCCCCCTCCCCCCCAACCCCCTTTTCCCCCACGCTCAACCCCCTTTTCCCCCACGCTCAACCCCCTTTTCCCCCACGCTCAACCCCCTTTTCCCCCTCGCTCAACCCCCTTTTCCCCCACGCTCAACCCCCTTTTCCCCCACGCTCAACCCCCTTTTCCCCCACGCTCAACCCCCTTTTCCCCCACGCTCAACTCCCTTTTCCCCCACGCTCAACCCCCTTTTCCCCCTCGCTCAACCCCTTTTCCCCCACGCTCAACCCCCTTTTCCCCCACGCTCAACCCCCTTTTCCCCCACGCTCAACCCCCTTTTCCCCCTCGCTCAACCCCCAACCTCCCACCCCGACAACTCCCCTCACCCATCACACCTCCCCACTCTCCTACGCTCTCAGAACACTCACCTCCTCTCCCATCCCCACCCCCCTGTCCCCCGCCCTCACCCCTTTCCCCTCCCACCCATCCATCATTGCACAGATAGACTTCTATTCTCCCAGAGCACGCCAGCCCACCTGGCTGCACAATTTTTCACGGCTCTTTCTCCTCCATGCTCCTTTGTTGCATTGCATTGCAACCACCCCCCCAACGCCCGCTCCTCTCTCCTCCTCTTCCCCCACCCTTGTTCTGCACGGCTGCACGACCTCTCTGCTCTGTTTTCCCCATGCTCCTTTCTCTCTCCCACTTGTACCCCTACCCTCACCCTCCCACCCACCAGTGCATAGACTTCTATGCTCTCAAGGCGCGCCAATTCACCTGGCTGCACGACCTCTCTGCTCTGTTTTCCCCATGCTCCTTTCTCGCTCCCTCTTGTTGCACCCCTACCCTCACCCTCACCCTCACCCTCACCCTCACCCTCACCCTCACCCTCACCCTCACCCTCACCCTCACCCTAACCCTAACCCTCACCCATCCATCAGTGCATAGACTTCTACGCCCTTAGAGCGCGCCAGTTCACCTGGCTGCATGATTTCGTGGACCAATGGGGGGGCGACACGTCACTGGCGGTGCTGCCAAACTTCTGCTTCGCTCTGGCCCAGGCGAGGCTTGGGGAGGCCAAGGGGGATGGAGAGGGAGGGGAGGGGAGTGGGGAGGCAACCAATGGCGTGGCGCCAGCTGGAAGGAACCGTACGGTTGCCACCGCCGCTGCTGCTGCTGCTGCTCCTGACGCCGCGTCTCTCCTGCGCGATGCTCTCTTCCTCCACCCGTAAGTTTCGTGCCTCAGTCTCCCGCCATTCTTTGAATCCTTAGGGGTTGCAGTGCAGTGCAGTGCGGTGCGGCGCGGTGCAGTGCGGTGCGGTGCAGTGCAGTGCAGGGCAGCCCGATCTGCTGCTTGCCAGGTAGTTTGCATTGCATGGTGTCTGAGAGAGCCCGCTTTCACCTCCTGTTTATCGCCCACTGCTCTCGTAATGTCATGGGACAGCTTTTCAGCTTTATGCATCACCTCCACGACCGCTCCCCTTTCCACCCTTCCTCCCCTCCTCCCCTCCTCCCCTCCTCCCCTCCTCCCCTCCTCCCCTCTTTCCATCTTCCCCTCCTTCCCCCTTCCCTTCTTTCCCCCCTCCCCTCCTTCCCCCCTCCCCTCCTTCCCTCCTCCCCTCCGCCCTTCTTCTCATCCTCCCATCCCCCCCTCCTCGCTTCCCCTCCTCCCACCAGATACGTCCTCAACGGGATGCTAGAGAAGGCCGACGCATCAGCCAACGCGTCGGCTGGAATTCAGATCAAGACCAACGCATCCTGGACGTCCATTCTCATCTTCCCCTGAATTCCACACCTCTCCCCTCCCCTCCCCTCCTCCCCTCCCCTCCTTCCCCACAGCTACGTGCTCAAAGGGCTGGTAGAGAAGGCCCCGATCAAGACCTCTCCCCTCCCCTCTTCCTCTGAATTCCACACCTCTCCCCTCCCCTCCTTCCTCCCCCCCTCCCCCCCTCCCCCCCGCCAGCTACGTCCTCAATGGGCTGGTAGAGAAGGCCCCGATCAAGACCGACGCATCCTGGACGTCCATTCTTAAGCACCCGCTCTTTGCCAGGACGACACCTGGCAGCGCGACATTGGAGCATCTGGTGCGGCTGTACGTGGAGGCTCCCCTCTGTTCCTCCCCTCCCCTCCTCTACGGCTGTACGTAAAGCGCAGTGCCGTGCTGTGGCGGGGGGGAGGGCGTGCAGGCGCTGCTTAAGAAGAACCGTCCCTCTAGTAACCATTCCCCTCCTCCCCCTTTCCCATCCTTGCCTCCCCCCTCCCTTTCTCCCTTCCTCCCCTTCCCCCTCCTCCCACCAGGTACGTGCTCAAGGGGCTGGTAGAGAAGGCTCCGATCAAGACCGACTCTTCGTGGGCCCAGATCTTGAAGCACCCGCTCTTCGCCAAGACGACACCTGGCAGCGCGTCATTGGAGCATCTGGTGCGGCTGTACGTGGAGCGCAGTGCTGTGCTGTGGCGGGGGGAGGGCGTGCAAACGCTGCTGAAGCGGGTGGCGGGTGACGTGGTGGCGACGGTGGAGAGGGAGAGGCGGGCAGGCGGAGGGGACGGGGAGATGGAGAGCTGGAAGTGCGTGCGAGAGGTGTCCTTCCCATCAGGCGCTAACGCGTGAGTCCTGGTTCATTTCTCTGGTATTCCGTGCTGAAATGGTTGGTATTAGCCTTTATAGAGGGAGGGGGAGGGCGGCGGGGATGGCGAGATGGAGAGCTGGAAGTGTGTCCGGAAGGTGTCGTTTCCATCAGGCGTTAACGCGTGAGTCCTGGCTTCAACTTGTAGGCATTCTGTGCTGGGTTTGTTGGGATTAGCCTTTGCAGAGGGAGGGCGGAGGGAACGGGGAGATGGGGAGCTGGAAATGCGTGCAGGAGGTGTCTTTCCTGTCTGAGGTGAACGCGTCAGTGCTGGTTCCGGGTTCAAATCTCAGTGGTTCAAGGGCTGGGTTTGGGAAGTTAAGGGCATCGATTGCTCGTGCCTGATGTGTTCGTCGCATGCGTCACTTCTCGTTAGTTGGCCTCATGTCTCTGCCGCTCTCCTTTCTTACAGCTCCCTCTTCCCCCCCTCCGCCAATCACGGCGCTCACAGATACCGCCACCTGCTGCTATCCGACTTTTCCGACGCCGCCCCCACTCTGCCGCCCGAGGAGCTCATGGCGATGCAAGAAGACGAAGCCGGCCGTCAGCGCCGCCCGGGAGCCCACGGCCTCGGCTTCTTGATTGGTGCAGGCGCTGGTGCTGCTGGTGGGGGTGGGGGCGGCGGAGGGGGAGGTGGAGGGGGAGGAGGAGGGGGAATAGGTGCAGGAGGGGCAGGGGGAGGAGGGGCAGGGGGAGGAGGGGCCGGGCAAGGGCAGCAGGTGGATCTAGCAGGGCGGAACCCACTGATGGTGTTTCTAGAGGCGATGCTACCGTGGAACGACTTTGGGGGAGCTGGGGGTGCCGGGGGGGACATGGGGGTGAATGTTGAGGCACAGCAGGCTGCTTTGGCTGCTGCTGCCGCTGCAGCTGCTGCTGCTGCTGATGATGATGGTGATGGGGAGGAGGATGAGGATGGAGACCATGATGATATTGAAGAGATTGAAATGGAGGAGAGGCGATAGGATGGAGGCAAGAGTGTGGGATGGTATGGGCAGTTGGTGAGTGGAATGAAGGGATGGTGATGGCGATGAGGATGAGGGTGGAAGCAGAAAAGATTGAAATGGAGGAGAGACGGTAGGTTATGGCGGCTGGTGAAGAAAACGAAATCACGGTGATTGCTGTGATGGCCTTGTGGTGATTTGGACCTGTGACGTAGAGATGGCTGTAAGACGGGCAGTTGAGATGTAGTGGAGCACTTATGAAGATGTAAATGTGCATACTTGACACATAGGAGAACGATAAGTCATGCATGAGTCAGAGAACTCCCTTCTATTAAAAAGCAAGAAAATCTGTCGAGTACCCACAAGTTCAGTGTGTTGAGGGCGTATTAAAGCCGATAACGAAGGAGCTTGTATCGAGTACAGATCAACACAGTCATTCGCCAACTTGCTTCGCAACTCTGCTTTCGCATGCACCGAGCTCTTGTCTCGCTGCACCACCTCGCACACGTATTTCGCGCGCTCGTTCTGTTAGTGTATCGCGTCAAAAAAGTAACCTCACTTTTTCAGCTTAGCGAAGTCAACTGTAGCGAAGCGAGTTCCTTTCCGCACACATAACTCCGTCGACGCAGGTTCGTCCTAGTCGCGCCATGGCGGACCACCTGTGCCGCCACATGTCCGAGCAGTAACGACATGTTTCGAGTCGACGCAGCATTCACACCGTCGATCTCGCAGCATTCACAGCGTTCATTTTAGCAGCGCCATGACGGACCGCCTGTGCCACATGTCCGTCGGCGACATGTTTTGAATCGAGTCGAGTAACTCTTCGTCGACCCCGTACGTTCATCCTAGAAGCAGCGCCATGGCGGACCGCCTGAACAGCATGTCCGTCGGCGACAGCGTCCAGCTGGCGTGCCGTGATTCGCTGCTGCCGTTCCTGCAGCAGGAGACGCGCGCAGCGGGCGCAGGGGGAAACGGTGGCGGGGGAGGCGGGGCGGGGTCGGACGGGGGGGAGCTGAAGCTTCTGGAAGTTGACGAGTCGATGCTGGCGGAGCTGCTGCGCGACGGGTGAGGGGGGATGGGGGGGGGGGGGGGGGGGGGGGGGTTGGGTATGGGGTGTGTCGTGCGGCGTATGGCTTAGAGCAGCGGAGGGGAGAGGCAGGAGTGATAGCTTCTGGAAGTGGACGAGTCGATGCTGGCGGAACTGCTGCGCGACGGGTGAGGGCAGGAAGAAAGGGGGGCGGGTGGTGTGGGGTATGTTGTGTGGCGTATGGCTCACAAGGAGACTGTGGTGTGGAACAGGGGGGAGCTGAAGATTCTTCAAGTTGACGGGTCGTGTGAGGTGCGTTGTGTGGCGATCGGGTTACACGGCGAGTGCGGAGTGGGATGGGAGTGATAGCTTCTGGAAGTTGACGGGTCGATGCTGGCGGAGCTGCTGAGCGACGGGTGAGGGCGGGGGGGGGGCTGGGCGGTCGAATAATGTGGGAGGGTGGGTAAGGCGGGGCGAGTGATATGGTGTGTTGAGTGGCGTATGGCTTTGTAAGAGGGTGGGGGAGGGGGAGTGATTGCTTCAGGAAGTGGACGAGTCGATTCTGGCGGAGCTGCTGGGCGACGGGTGAGGTGGGGTGATGTGGTGTGTGGCGTATGACTTACAAGCAGAATAAAAGGGGGGGGGGGGGGGGGAGGGAGGTGGGGGTGATATCTTCTGGAAGTGGACGAGTCGATTCTGGCAGAGCTGCTGGGCGACGGGTGAGGTGGGGATAGTGTGGAGTGTGGCTCAGAGGGAGCAGAGCAGCTGCTGCTGCTGCACCCTGTGATATAAACGATTAGCAGCAGCCAGATGTGTTGTGACCCCGTTGGTATGTCATTTGGCATGCTCACTCCCTGACCTACCCGTTCTCTCACTCCTCCCTGGCTGTTGACGTTTTTCTCATTCTCACCTCGTTATAAGCACCGCACCTCCTCTTGCCCTATCTTTGCTACACCTCATCGCGTGCAAGACGAGATTGCAGGCTGGTTATAAAGGGTACACCAGAAGAAGGGGACGAGGCGGTTCTATGCACTCGCAGCAGCACCTTCGCTCTCAAGCTGGTTACCACCACCAACCTGCTGCTCCTCGTCCCTCCACATGATGAAAACACACCTGAAAAAACATCTGAAGAAACGCCTGAAAAGACACCTGAAATTGCAATGGAAGACTCCAGCGAAAATGTTGATATTCAAGACGAGAAGCTTCAAAATGTGACAATACCGAGGGTGACTGCAGCAGCAGTTGCGTCCAGCCACCTGGAGGTTGTTCCCGTGGCGCCTCGGCTGGCCCGGCTGACCCACCTGCTGTCTGCATGTGCTTATAACGAGCGGGACGAGGAGGAGGATCTGAGAGGGGGTGAAGGGGAGGGCGAGGAGGGAGAGGGAGGAGGTGGGAGGAGAGGAGCTGGTGGGATGGGAGGAGGAATGTATAATGGAGCCAGGGAGGGTGTAGGAGAGGGAGGTATAGAGAAGAGGGGGAGACAGAAAGGGTACACGTGGCAGGAGCTGGTTGGTCGGGTGCAAGCGAGTGAGGAAGAGATTCGAGCTGGCTTGGAGGCTGCTGGTGCCGTGAAGGTGGGTGGAGAGCGGTGCAAGGTGGGTAATGGTACAAGGTATTGGCTGGGAGTCCATGTTTAAAGAATGGAGCAGGGCGTGGGCGCCTATTCAAGCTTTAACGCCTTGCATGAGAACAAGCTTTAACGCCTTGCATGAGAACAAGCTTTAGACAACTCGCCAGTCTTGAACCTCTTGTTCAGAAATGCCAAGTGTTTGCTTGTTTCCGCCTGGGTCTTTCCCCCCACACCTCTCGTTCTTCTCCTCGCTCCTTTCTTCTCACCCAGTTTCCATTCTTGAGGAGTCTAGTCTTGAGTCTGCATGAGGGGGCAGAGTGTCCTCAAACAAAACTAGTCGGGAATCCACTCTGCCCCCTCATGCAGAAGCGATTGAATTCCGATTGGAGTTTTTGCGATCAAATCACGCAATGTTTAGGTGTTCCTGGATTGTCTGTGAATTCTGTTTTGCGGAAAGTCATTCTCGAACTCATCCCCTGGCTCGCCCACCTCCTTGTGCTCTTGACCAATAGATTGGTGACACGTGGCGCGGAGTCGACCCCGGATACCTCGCCTTGCTCCTCCGCCTCCTGCTGCTCACAGCAGCAGCCAATGACTGGCCGCCACGTGCCATTCCCGAGGCTGCTGCTGTGGCTGCCATGTGTGGGGAAGCGGGGGAGGGGGGAACGGGGGAAGGGGGAGCGAGGGAGGGGGAGAGGAGGGAGGGTCCGAGGGCAGAGCTGGTGAGGCACTGTCTGAAGGTGTTTGGTAAGCGGAGGAGGAAGGGGAGGAGAGAGGAGTGGGAGGAGGCGAGGAGCGTCAGAGTGGGGGGGAGTGTGGGGGACGGGGACGATGGAGAGATGGAAAGAGGTATTAGAGGAAGGGATGGGAAGGAGGATGAAGAGCGTGGAAGAGGAGGGGGAGGGGAGGGTGGAGGAGGGAAAGGGGGGGAGTGTGTGTGGTGGGAGTTGGATGAGTGCAAGGTGTGTCGCCACTATGCCAGGCAGCTGTTGGAATCAGGTACCCACCCCCTTTCCCGCCGCACTTCCCTTTACCTTACCCCTAAACCCCTAAGACGCTAAACCTCTCACCTTCACATGGATGAGTGCAAGGTGTGTCGCCACTATGCCAGGCAGCTGTTGGAATCAGGTACCCACCCCCTTTCCCGCCGCACTTCCCTTTTCCTTACCCCTAAACCCCTAAGACGCTAAACCTCTCACCTTCACATGGATGAGTGCAAGGTGTGTCGCCACTATGCCAGGCAGCTGCTGGAATCAGGTACCTCTCTCCCACTCACGTCCCTTCCACTGACCCTTAAACCCCCTGAAACACTGAGTCCGCATTGCATTGCAGCTGCTAGGTACCATGCTCCCCTCCCCCGTCACATATGTTTCCTGAGAATTCTCAAAAAACATACCCCTGAAAACCCTGAGTCCGCATTGCATTGCAGCTGTTGCTAAAGTACCACGCTCCCCTCCCCCGTCACTTCCCTTGTGTGTTAGAGTCGACTTGAACACGCATGCACGAAGCAAGGGTGAGGAACGGGCCTCTCATTGCATGTTGACTTTTGAGACGTGTATGAAGACGTTTTTTGAGACGTCTCAAAACGCTTCTTCAAACACATGCATGAAGCATGGGTGAAGAACGTGCCTCTCATCTCATTACATGCACACGCCCCAATCTCTTACCTTCCTCACATGCACCTCTCCCAGGCACTCATTGGCGCCTCTCTGCATTCATGCACGCATGGATGAAGAACGTGCCTCTCGTTGCATGCACTGCCCACGCCCGAATTCCTTACCTTCCTCCCCATACACCTCTCCCATGCACCTCTCCCATGCACCTCTCCCATGCACCTCTCCCATGCACCTCTCCCATGCACCTCTCCCATGCACCCTCTGCCGCCTCTCTGCACGCACATGCACGCACTGGAAACGAAGGTCCCACCCACCATTGCTAAACCTGTGACTTCACACCCCTCTAAACCCATGTGCACCATCCTTCAATCTGCCTTCACCTCCCCATGCAAACCCTCTCCCGCAGGCGCTCGCTGGCGCCTCTCTGCATTCATGGAAGCATGGGCAAAGAAGGTCCCACCCGCCATGGCCCAATCACTGGACGCCACGTGGCTGAGAGGCCTGGCAATCCTACAGCACGTGGGAGGACCAGCAGCAGCAGCCGCCGCAGCAGCGGCAGTGACAGCTGCAGCGACAGCAGCTGGGAAATCGGAGGAGGAACAGGAGTGTGAGCCGTTGGGAGGGGTGCAGAGCACGTGGGTGCGCTTCCTGCCGAGTGACCAGCTGCCAGCCACGGCAGAGCACCGCTTCCAGGCGCTGTTCACCGTGCAGCCCATGTGGGCTCTTGCTGACCTTGAACCCTATCTCATGTACGTACCTCAGGCTTGTGGGGCAGGTTGGTGGGAGGGGCGCAGAGCACGTGGGTGCAGTATCTGCCAAGCGACCAGCTGCCAGCCACGGCAGAGCACCGCTTCCAGGCGCTGTTTGGTGTGCAGCCCATGTGGGCACTGGGGGATCTGGAGCCCTACCTCGTGTACGTATCTGGTGCAAAGTGGAGTGGTGTGGGCATGCAGAGCCAGTAGCGTGCTGGTCACGCCACGGCAGAGCATCGCTTCCAGGCGCTGTTTAACGTGCAGCCCATGTGGACGCTGGGGGATCTGGAGCGGCATCTCGTGTATGTACCTCAGGCATGTGGGTATGTGTGGTGATAATTTTCAAAAAACATACAGTTCAGTGTGCAGCCCATGTGGGCGTTGGGAGACCTTGAACCCTACCTCGTGTACGTGCTTAGGGCATGCCTGTGTGGTGCTACATGTATGCATGCACCCCTGTGATCCCCCCCTCCTCTACTCACTATTGAGTCGACTCAAAAGTCAACTCCCTACCTCGTGTACATGCTCAGGGCATGCATGTGTGTTCCTACATGCATGCATGCACCCCCTGTGATCCCCCCCTCCTCTTCTTACTATCACTAATTTCTCCGGTTGTTCTCCTGCTATCTCCCCTCTCCCCATACACCACCTTTACTCAAACGTCACGTCCCACTGCAGTGACCTACAGGGCCCCAGCCAATCAGTGGAGACCTTTCTGATGCGATAAACCTGAACTGTATTCTGTGCGCATTCACCCTTTCCCCCAAACGTCCCACCTCACCACTGCAGTGACCTACAGGGCCCGGGCCAATCAGTGGAGACCCTTCTGATGCGATTCACTCTCCGCCCGTCCACTTTTCTCCTCTTCCCTCTGCCCATGCATCCCCTCTCCCCATGCATCCCATATCCCCATGCATCCCATATCCCCATGCATCCCATATCCCCATGCATCCCATATCCCCATGCATCCCATATCCCCATGCATCCCATATCCCCATGCATCCCCTATCCCCATGCATCCCCCATCCCCATGCATCCTCCATTCTTCAGCCAATCAGTGGAGACCCTTCTCATGCGATTCACTCGTCTCTCCTCGTCTCTCCTCATCTGTTCTCATCTCTCTTCATCTCTCTTCATCGCACGTCCCCCTGCAGTGATCTACAGGGGCCCGGCCAATCAGTGGAGACCCTTCTCATGCGATTCACTCGTAAGGTACAGGAGGGGGTTGATAAACCTGAGTTGTACTGCGCTCGATAATACTACAACAATGATTGCATCTATTGAGAAAGCTTGCTTTCTGTTCTTGCAAAGGCAACTGGCTTCATTACAATTGGCAACTGGCTTCATTACAATTGCAGTAATACAACATTCTCGTCCAACTATGGATCATACAAATATTGGTACAACTAGGGCGGGTGGGTGGGGAGTGAAACTGCAAAGTTCTGAAATGAAGTCGTGGGTGGAGGCCGAATGGCCTCCAACTCTCGTTATGTACTCGGCGAATTGTAATTCGCCGTTGCTTTGCTTCGTTACAGGCAGCTGCGCTTTCACAATACACATTTTTAGAAAGTGTTACACACTTTCGAAAAAATTCATATTGAGAAAGCTTGCTTTCTGTTCTTGCAAAGGCAACTGGCTTCATTACAATTGGGTCTTCTGAGACATGTGCAGCTGGAGCGTTGAAAACGTGGTGAGTGTAGTTGCGGTTGATGACATTGACGAAATGCCGGGAGGGGCGGCGTTGGTGAGTCGTGGGCTCCATGTCGATGGCGTCCGAGGTGCTGTGCGCGAAGGTTGCTCGTGCTGTTGATGTGGATGTCCCTGGTTGTTGGTGCACCAGGATAGTGGTTGAAACTGGTGGTTCCCGTACTCTACACGCCCAATGTACGGTACAACTTTTATCTTGGGATTTAGCTTCCATGTGCTCTGCTTTACCCTACACTTCCAGTCGTTTGATGTTCCGGCCGGAATAACTACAACGTGGGTGGATGTAAGGGTTTGAAGTGGTACTCGGGTGAGTGTGGTATTCGTCATGTTGGTTGGGTAGGAACGGTCACACAATTGCTGCCTTTTACTCCCAAACGCCCATTCAGGTGACAGCATGCAAGTCGTTTCAACGTGTGCTTTTGCTTCCTTGTCGGGTGTTATCGAACAAAGTGGGATGAGAATGATGGCGAAAACCGATCCCATTGTCATAGCCCTTATTTGGAAGAACACGGAATGTGGTTTAAAAGTGTGTGAACACCAACTGGAGTCAAGTCAAGATTTTAAAACCAACTTGAGGTGCACTTGAACAGTTGCTTCCCGAGATTTCAGTGGGGCTCCAACCAGGGTCGTCGCTAGCAGAAATTTTCTGTCTGTTTGTCTTATATTCAGATCGAGTTTTTAGAGTTCATCTGATTTTTCAGAAATTTGTTTTTGTAATTTCTGATTGATAAGGAGTAGTTTTTGAGTTTATCTGATCAATCAGGTTCTAGTTTTCGTTTCGTCTGATACCGAATCCAACTATGTAGGGGTGAATATGGGATTCGAGTTGTGAATGGGCGAATCTGATGCGTCAAGAGGCGCATTTGTAAGTGTCAGGGGGCGAATCTGTTAGTGTCAGGGGGCGAATCTGCTGTGTCAGGGGCGAAATTGTTGTTACGGGACGAATCTGCTGTGTCAGGGTGACGGTGAATCTGCTGTGACGGTCCGAGTTTGCTGTGAGGGGGTGATTCTGCTGTGACTGGTCTAGTCCGAATCAATTGCGTCAGACTTGCATTTCGAAAATATCTGATACATCAGACACGGTAAAAAACAGAATCAGATGGATCAGACGGGCCCGAAGGTCCCGTCTGATCCATCAGGCGCCCTCAAATCCTAGCGACGACCCTGGCTCCAACCAGCCTTTATTGGTCACATTAAAAAGTAAATGGGGTACATAAAAAATCAAGGATGATCCAGTCATACAAGCGAGCACATTGTTCGAAATTTTTGCCCATTTTACGGTAAGGCCAACGTGTGGACCTTCGAGTCTCTTCCCCCCTGGGGGACGGCTCTCAGTGTCAGAGGTCCACTGGTGATCCCCGATTGATCCTAGGGAAGGGTTACAGGCACGTTTGCCTGGGGGGTTATGGGCGCACTGACCCGCTACTGAAACAAGCCCTTTTATCCCAATGGTCTAGTGGTTGGGATTCTGAGATGGTATCAGAGCGAAGGTCTCGGGTTCGAATCCCGGTGTATGCACTTCGGGCATCCCAGTGCGGGGGGGTGTCAGAGGTCCACTGTTGATCCCCGATCGATCCTAGGGAAGGGTTACAGGCACGTTTGCCTGGGGGGTTATGGGCGCACTGACCCGCTACTGAAACAAGCCCTTTTATCCCAATGGTCTAGTGGTTGGGATTCTGAGACTCAGGCCACGCTAGGACCCTCGGTCCCCTTCCCTCCCCTGGGGGACGGCTCTCAGGCCACACGGGGACCCTCGGTCCCCTTCCCCCCCCTGGGGGACGGCTCTCAGGCCACACGGGGCCCTCGGTCCCCTTGCCCCCCTGGGGGACGGCTCTCAGGCCACACGGGGACCCTCGGTCCCCATCCCCCCCTGGGGGACGGCTCTCAGGCCACACGGGGACCCTCGGTCCCCTTCCCCCCCTGGGGGACGGCTCTCAGGCCACACGGGGACCCTCGGTCCCCTTCCCCCCCTGGGGGACGGCTCTCAGGCCACACGGGGACCCTCGGTCCTCTTCCCCCTTTGGGGGATGGCTCTCAGGCCACACGGGGACCCTCGGTCTCCTTCCCCCCCTGGGGGACGGCTCTCAGGCCACACGGGGACCCTCGGTCCCCTTCCTCCCCTGGGGGACGGCTCTCAGGCCACACGAAGACCCTCGGTCCCTTCTTTTTATTGGGAGACGTCCTTGGGTGCGCGTTGAGTTGATCCTGTCGTAAATGTAGTTCTCCCGCGCGACCAGTAGAGTCTTTAAAAGTGTTTTTCCGCACCCGTGGTGTTGAGCCTATTTTTCTGCCACCAAGTAACAATAGGAGCATAGAGATTAATGGAAAATAATCGAAGAGATCATAACAGAAGAAAAACTTGAACTTAAAAGACTTGCAGCACGTAGGCAACAAATGACGCCCAGTCGAACGACTTTAGGCGCTGCAGTAGCAATTTCGTAACTGCCGCTCCAGCGGCCATTTCGTCCCTCGAGCGCTGGTGGCGATTTTGCCACTGGCGCATGTGGTAATTTCGCCACATGCGCGATTGTGGCGATTTCGTCCCTGGCGCGCGGCAATTGCGCCAGTGGCGATTTCGTCCCTGGCGCGCGCCACTGGCGCCAGTGTCGATTTCGTCCCTGGTGCGCGCCATTGGCGCCAGTGGCGATTTCGTCCCAATCGTGCGCCACTGGCGCCATTGGCAATTTTGTCCCTAGCGCGCGCCACTGGCGATTTCGTCTCTGGCGCGCCTGTTGGCGTTTTGTCCGACGCACTTCGATCTTAGTTGAGCGCCCGCTAGTTACAGTCGCACTCGTGATAGTTTGCCCTTCATGGAAAATCAAGCGCCTGGGTTGAACGTGCAAGTGAGTATTAGCTTAGAAGGTAGTTTCTAGCGACAAGGAAACGGTCGAGGTGGTTGGACGAGAATTGGAGTGAAACTGCAAAGTTCTGAAATGAAGTCGTCGGTGGAGGCCGAATGGCCTCCAACTCTCGTTATGTACTCGGCGAATCGTAATTCGCCGTTGCTTTGCTTCGTTACAGGCAGCTGCGCTTTCACAATACACATTTTTAGAAAGTGTTACACACTTTCGAAAAAATTCATATCTATGGTGCATGCAAGACCATAATCCGTATGGTGACTAAAGCGCAACAATGCTTTATTCTGAAGGGTGGTTAGTTCATCATACACGCCGCAGCCCCTCAGCAAGTTGGCTTGAGCAGCATATTGAGAAAGCTTGCTTTCTTGTCCTTATAATTTGGCATCGTTCTCATTGGGTCATCGTTCTCATTGCAACTGGCTTATTACAACATATGCATCGTTCGTAAACACATGCTAGTACATGCAAATATTACTAGCTATGGAGTCGTCCGTCCAAGCAGCTGTGGTCTTGTAGTTGGTCCGGGGTGGGTGGTGGGGATGTTGATTGAGCCGTTGGAAAACGAGAAACGTGGGTGGAGGGAATGAACTCCAACCCACGGTTTTTGTAGTTGGAGAAGGGCGTTTAGCGCGCTTCGACGCTGCCAAATATTCGGTACAGTCAGCTTCGCTTTCACAATACACAATTTTGAAAAACATCAATGTGTTTAAAAATTATAATATTGAGAAAGCTTGCTTTCTTGTCCTTATAATTTGGCATCGTTCTCATTGCAACTGGGGCCTCTGAGACATGGCCAGTGGTGGCTTGCGGTTGCGTAAGAGTGCCTCTGCGTGCTGTTCTGGGGGCAGCGCGTATGTCGGGTCCTGTAGGTCGCGGGATGCCTTGATAAGATGTCCGACGTATGGTGTGACGTACATCTCTTTGGCGGTGTCACTTCGCCACCTGCCCATCCTTTTGAAGATTCTGTCCGGCACGCCGATGTTGGCGGCTACGGTTGCCGCGCCCTTTCGGAAGGAGTGCGTGCCGAGCTGCTGCTCCCCAAGTCCTACTTTGGCGAATGCTTCTTTACACCAGTTTCGGATCGTTGTGTACGAGGGTGGCTTGGCCTGGCCCTTGTTGGCTGAAGCGTGGCTGAAAACGCGAATCAACGACCCCTCGGAATGAGGGCCATAGCCAGCGAGTTGGAGGAAGCGTTGGGTGCAGCGCACGGGGCAACAAGGGTCCGTCGTTGCGGCGATGGGAATCCAGGTTCCACGACCAGCCTGGTCCGTTTTTGAGTGTGGGATGAGGATCCACATGACTGCATCGTCGAATTGGATGTCTTGCCACTGGATGGCAACGAGGTCGGAGTATCGCAAAAATCCGGAGTACATGAGGATAGGGATCAACCCCTTCTGAAATTCAGCGGGATTGTCCGACTGCAAGTAGTTCGCGGACATGTCCCGAACTTGTTGGATTGATACGGGCTCCTTCAAACGACTAGGGCGAGGGCAGTGTCGTTTCGCGTAGTCCCGCACTTGGGTGGTAAACGGTCCGACAGTCGGGCATTTGCTTCCAGTCATGCGATGGGCGAAGCTGACTGCCGAGCACGTGAGCTGCACTACAGACAAGGTTGCTTTGCGTTGGATTGCATGCACCAAGTATAGCGCGAGGGTCATGTCGGATGCGGGAAGAAATGGAAGATCCACCTTTGTGCAGAAGGCCCGAAACTTGGCCCAGTACGGTTCGTATGTACGGATTGTCGAATTCGCTCGCGATTGTGTGAGCATGTTGATGAGTTGGTTGTGTAGCTTTGGGAGCGGATCTGGACACAAGGCGCGTACATTCTCAATTAGTCAAAAACCACCCGAAGTGCGATGATTGGGCTGTGTGGTAATCCAGTGCCTGAAAAAGCAGCGGAATGTGTTCCAGCTGCCAGGCATTGGCTGCCGTGTGTCAAGGGAATGTGCGCGTGGATGTACGGTGCCCAGTTGCGTGGGGAAGGTTGTAAAAGTGGCCACCAGTTTGCACCCGGCCAGTGTGGGATGATCAATGTGAGCGATGCACGGGTGCGCTGTGCGTGATGGAGGACGGCCGGAACTAAATGGGGCGGGGGGAACGCAAAGCTATTTTCTGATGTCCATGCGAGCGAGAATGCATCGACTGCGGTGGCTTGTGGATGAGGAATTTTAGTGCAGAAGCGTGGCAGCTGGGAGTTGCGGGAGTTTGCAAAGAGGTCGATGGAATGGGGACCCCAACGCCGTTCTAAGATGCGGAACCACGGCGTCTTCAACGAGTAGTCGTCATGATCGACTGCTTTTGAGAGCTCATCGGCGTGTGAGTTTAGCTCCCGTGGGATCCATTCGATGATTAGACGCGTGCCGTGCTCCATGCATAGTCGAATGATGTCTTGGCAGGAAGGTCGGGGCTGCGCGAGCCACCTTTGCGAAGGATGAAGAAGACGCCCTGATTGTCCACCCGCACAAGAACATGTTTGTGCGTAATCTTGCTGGAGTATGTTTGGAGTGCCCAAAGCACACCTTCGATCTCCCTCCGTGTGCTGGACGTCGCTCGCAGCGGCTCTGGCATTGTTGCGCTAGCTTCTTCGAGGCCGCCAGGAAATGTGGTCAAAGTGGCGCCCCAACTGTGAGCGCTAGCATCCACATGGATGACAGCGTCGTAGCTGTTTCGAACGTGAAACGGTGCACCGTTGAACCTGTCAAACTCTTCGAGCCAGAAGTTTAGCTCCTCAGCCGCGTTTGGGGGGATGATCACGCTGCTTTTCCATGAAGGTGCGTCATTGATCACTTGTAGCATGGCGTGGCTGAAAGCACGAGCTGTTGCGCCCAGCGCGACGCCCATTGACGCGAGCATGCCTGTGATTCTGGCCACTTGGCGGACTGAGACGGGTCGACATGCCTTGCTTGCGCTCAACAGGTTCCGAATGGTTGCATGTAGTGAGGCTCGTCGTTCGGGACCGATGGTAAATCGGCCTGTGGCCGTGTCTAGCTCCACACCCAAGAATCGAAGGTGTTGCGATGGTGACAGCTGTGATTTCTTCGCATTTATCACCAAACCTGCTGCTTTAAGGTCCAGTATTACACGGTGGCAAGTAGCCTGCGCGTGAGCTTTTGACTGGCAAAGGAATAAGATGTCGTCCACGTATGGTACTACTCGGATGCCTTGCTCCCGCCAGCGACGGGCTAGCTGCTTGATGAGTTGCGTGAAGATGAATGGGGCTGTCGCAAGACCGAACGGCAATGAACGAAAGGAGTAAGTGCGCCCATCGAATCCAAAACCGAGAAACTTCCAGCATGAAGGATGGATATCGATGTGATGGTACCCGGATTTGAGATCAATAGAAAACATCCAATCCCCAGCGCGTGCCACGTCTGCCACACGGCTGAGTCCTTCGTACTTGAATTTTGGGACGATGAGGTTCGTGTTGACTTTTCTCAGGTCGAGGATGAGCCTGCATTTTTCTTTCTGCTCGACCACGTTAAGTGGGCTTATGCACGTAAGCTCGCTTGCGGCTGTCTCGACTGCAGCTCCGGTCTCTGTGAGTTCTTGGATGGCAGTACGTGTGAACGACGCATGCGCGTATGCACCAGCGTGGTTACGCTCCCGAAAGGCCTGTGGTGGGCCGTGGCTCCATGGAAGCCAGTAACCGTTGGCGATGATGGATAGGACGAGGCTGCAAGGGCACCATGAGCTCCACCACGCAAAGGTCGAGCGAAGCCGACCGCACATCCGTGTGACGGTTTTGTCCGTGACGGCGAATTCGTACGGGCCATCGTCGCGAGGCACCTCGTATTGTTGTGCTCCTGTATGTACGGCAAGGAAATGAACGCGAACAATCAGGTTGCACGCCTTAATTAGTTCATGCGTGTGACATATACATGCATGCGCGAAAAATGAACCGTCAACAGTGAGGACCATACGGACGGTTTGTCGTCATTCCATATAGGGCGTCCGATCGCACCTTGGCAAACTCTTTCTCATACTCTCTCCTTTTCCCTCCCCTCGTTTTTTTTTTTTTTTTTTTTTCTGGAGGATTGATGCTTGGGACCATGATCATGCTTCCCTCGTGTGCTCTCTCTCTCTCTCTCTCTCTCTCTCTCTCTCTCTCTCTCTCTCTCTCTCTCTCTCTCTCTCTCTCTCTCTCTCTCTCTCTCTCGCTCTTTCTCTCTCCCTCTCTTTTTGGATGTGTTTCCATTGTTGTTTGAGCATTTGCATGCTTCGCTTGTCATGAGCTCGTGTCTTTTCGCGCGTGCCTTTACTTGGGCTAGGCGACATCGCTATGCCCTACTCCCCCCCCCTTGCTCCTTCTCACCCTTTTTGGGCTTCCAACGGTTGAACCAGGGCT